TATGTATATGTATATATACACATCAAGGATTAATTGTGCATATGGCATAAAATAAGGTTAAAAATAAGGTCCCACAAACTGTTGAGGATGAAAGTGTTTTTAATTGTTTTCTGATTTTTCTTTCTACGCTTTTTTCTTTCTTTCCTTTTCCTCTCTCACATTTATGTACGTGTTGTTTGTCTATTTTAATTGTAAAATTAATAAAGTTTATTTTTAAAAAAAAGAAAGAAAAGAAGCGTCTTTGGGACAGTAAGGAGAACAGACTTTTCTATCATTTCAACAGCGGATGGGTTGCGCGAAGTTCTCTGCGGATGCGGCAAGTCCCAAGCTGGGAGGAGGGAGCGGGGGGGAACGGACGGGATGGGACGGAACTAACCTGTGATGTAGAATAGGAGTCTCCATTTAGCCCTTGAAGGCCCATGAACATATCCCCCGAACTGGAAAGATTGAAGGAGCCCCCGGAGCCTGTGAGAAAATCGGAGGGAAGAGGGGAGGAAAAAAAAAAAAAGAGCAACAGAGTGAACGGGTGGAAAGACACCGCTCTTTCGAGGAAAGAAAAGATTAAGGCTGCTGAGAAGTTACGTTAAGTGGAGGTGCATGCCAAGAGCCCCAAGCGCACCCGGGAATACTAAGCTCTTATCTTTTGTGTAAGGTTATAGTAACAGAACTATAACAGGATCCCCACCTTACTCTGTGGTAAGTTGGGCGGCCAATAAATTTGGAAAAATAAAATCAATAAGTAAATAAATCTTGCAAATCTGAAGGCACATCTTCTCCTCTCCCCCTTCACTTTTACCATCCAAGAAACCAGGGAAGGCCCACATTCCAGCTGTGGTCTTATCTGACTGGGGTCTAGTCTGGGGCTCTTCATTCCCACAGACCATGACATTGGCCTGGGGGAGGGGGCTGGGGAGAAGGAAGAAAGGAAGGAAAGAAGAGAAAGAAGCAAGCATCTAGGTCTGCCCTCGGTAAGGATGACCGCTTGTTTGGAAGGGGGTGGAAGAGCTGGGGATGGAGGTTCTCCTCAGGAGCTCCACCATTGGTTGGAGTGGGATGTGGGTGGCAGTTCCATGCTTCTCCAATCCCAGCAAGGACTCCTGCACCAACATGGGGTGTAGCGGAGTTTTGGGGAGGAGGGGAGTTACCCGCGGAGGAGGGGGTGTTGGGAGAGTCGCCCCCACTCTGTGCGGCGCTGACCGCCGTTTTCACGGCGTAAATATTGGCTTCCTCTTGGAACTTGCCGATGTTCTTCTTATAACGGATGCGCTTGTTCCCGAACCAGTTTGAGACCTGGAAGGAGGGAGGGGAGGGAGAGGGCAGAGGTCAACATGGAGGAGCAGGAAGTGGGAGGGGAACAAGGGGGGCGGGGAAAGAGGGGTGAGGAAGGAAGGGAATTATGGATCGATAGGTCAGCCAAACCTGGACCCTTTTCCCCCGGCCGACCTTCTTTCCCGAAGTGACCCTACCGTCTCTCGCAGACAGTCTCGTAGCCTGCTCGGTTCAGCTTCAGACCTTCCCCCCGCATAGGTCCTGGTACCTGCGAGACGGTGATGCCGCACTTCTTGGCAAGCTCCTCCTTGGCCTCCTCGCTGGGATACGGGTTGCTCAGGTGCGAGTAGAAATATTCGTTCAGGACCTCGGTGGCTTGCTTGCTGAAATTGCGTCGCTTCCGCCTGTCCGTTGCGTGGGACAAAGAGGGGTGGGTGGGAAGAGGTTGACAATGAGAACAAGATGATTGCCATTTAGGGTGTCAATACCCGCTGAAGATTGGATCCTGCAACATTATCCTGGGACATGAGTATATTCGCCTTCATTCGCCATGCAAAATCACTTAAAAATCCCGCCTGTCAGAAAAAGAATTGGAGTTGACATATAAATTCCACAGGAGTGCTAAAATATGTGGAGATGCTCTTGAGAAATGCAGTTCTAACACTTTTCTTTCCAGGTAAGACTCCAGCGATTCTCCAAGCTTTCTTGAAAACATGCTGGCTGTGTATATTGAGCCCCCAACTCTCTAAATGAGATGTCCAACAACATATGAGCCTCTGTGGCGCAGTGGTTAGAGTGCAATACTGCAAGCTACTTCTGCAGCCAACTGCCTACAATTTGGCAGTTCAAATCTCACCAGGCTCAAGGTTGGCTCAGCTGTCCATCCTTCTGAGGTGGATAAAATGAGGACCCAAATTGTTGGGGGGCAATAGGCTGACTCTGTCCAAGTGCTATTGCTATATCGCCACTATCTCCAGATCCATCCTCTCTCCTCACTACCTTGTACAGCAACCCTTCACAGTTTACGACGGGGATGAAAAACTTTGTGACCGATTGCATTTATGACCTTCAAGGATCCGTTAAGCAAAGGTAAAGCTAAAGATCATTAAACAACACTTGTGGTTTCACCCAGTGATCCATTTGTTTAACAACCAAGTTGCTGGTTCCAATCACAGATGCTAAATGAGGAGTTCTGCAAAGTAACACATTCAAATGTTCGCTAGGTTTACAGAATACAAATACTCGGTGGCTTTCAATTATTCTTGACGCAGTTTTAAATAGTAGGAAGTATGCACAGTTCTACAGGAAGTCATGATATATTTGTATTTCCCACAGCCGGGAATGTGTGTGTGTATGTATGTACACACACACACACAAACACACACACACATTTATTTGCCAACATTTACACGTTTCCAAGATTTCTGAAGCTAGGTATTTCACAACATATGGGAGGTCGCCCAGATACGACAATCAGCAGAATGGAATGGTAGTTCTTGGGCAGAAGAGAACATCAAACTCCATTTATGAAACTTTTAATCGCCAAGCAAGATTGCCTGGAGACGAATCTCCTTCCTGGTCACACTTAGTGTCTGAAAGGTGTTTTCTTCAAGAGCCAACTGGAGTTTCTGTTTTTCCTTTGAATCCATTTCGCTTCTCATCCAAGGAGCTTCTTCACCTCTGACAGGATGGTGAGGAATGGAAGGATAATTATACTCCTTTGCAGACTGCTGGTCATTTGCATTTTGGAGAGTCACTGAGGCCACCTGGATGTTTATTTGTGTCCTTAGGGTTACCTGCGTAGTGGAAATGGATGACTCGCCTTTTTGGAACTGCTGAAAGGACTGTGTTGTAGATTGGAGATACATGATGTTGTATCCCCCTCTCTCTCTGTTGAGAGGGCTGTTCAATTTTGGCACAGGTGGCCTCTCTGACTCCTTTTTTCAAACCAGTGGTCCTCTCTGTCTATAATATAGACTTTGCTGTCTTCAAAATAAACCTCCAGGTGGCCTCAATGATTCGCTAAAAGAATGCAAATGACCAGCTGCCTCTGCAAGGACTATAAATCTTTCCATTCCCCACCATCCAGTCAGAGCTGAAGAAACTTCTTGGATGAGAAGCAAAATGTCTTCAAAGAAAAAAAAAAAGAAAGTCCAGTTGCTTCTTGAAAAAAAAAAAAAACACCTTTGGGATAACCATGACCGGGATGACTGAGAATCTCCACAGACATTTAAACTTTTAGTGTTTCTCCTTTTCTGATTTTTAATCAATTACCACTGAATTGCAGTTTTATTGCATTAGTATGGCAAGCCTTTCCTGTGTATAATTATACTAGCTCTATACCTGTGCTTCGCTACGAAACTATGTGATCGGGCTTAGTTTTGGGGGAGGAAAATAAGGGGGGAAAAATTTGTGCCTCTGCCTACCAGCATCCACTGGTATTCACCTGGCTAGCGTCCAGTCAGTGTGTGAGAGAGTTGAGGGCCGTTTGGAAACTGAAACAGTATTTGCTGTGTGAGCAAGAAGGAGACAGAGGTGGGATGCTACCGGCTCTGCCCGGTTCTATAGAGCTGGTAGCTCTGAAGAACAGCAGACACAGAACCGGTTCTGTGTTTGCTGCTGTTTGGCCCACCCACCCGCCCGGTGCTCTTACCTGTCCTTTATTTCCTGCTTTTTCAAGCTTAGCTGCTTTGCGCGGCACAGCTGACCTCGAAAAAGCAGCAAAAAAGTGGCTTTTCAAATGCTATGCAGCGCTTTTCAGCTGTCCGGGCGGCACAGCCTAAGGTTACTTTACACGCGCGCACATGCAAAACGTAATCACCAAACCGATAGTAATGCTGGTTGAACCCCACCCCTGGAAGGAGACAGCAAGGAGCCTGGGGGTGGCTTAGCTCGACTGTTCTGTACTAAAGCAGCTTGGTGCTCTGAAACTGAAACTCCTCTCCTCTGCTTGTGTTTTGCATTTGGAACAGATTTCTTTTTTTCATGTTGGGAGGGGAAGTAGAACTCCTTAGCATCAGAGCATTTTAATAATACTAATAATATTTGAAATACTAATGCTCTGATGGTTATTTTGAAAAATCCATTCTTAGTGAGCCCCTAGAAGCCAAGAGGAACATACGTGCCAAATTTCAAGTTTGTAAGCTTTACAGTTCTGGAGATTTTGTGATGATGCATGAGTGGTATTTCGCTTTTATATAGAGAGATACAGGTTCATTTGGTGACGTTCAATGGTACAACGGCACTCAACGAAGCGACTTATGACCGTTTCTCACACTTATGACCATTGCAGCAATGCCCATGGTCACATGATCAAAATTCAGAGGCTTGGCAACGGACTCCTATTTCATGAATGAAGGTGAACATACGCGTCCCAGGATAACGTAAGCAGGGTGGGTCAGCGGGACCAGAGGTTTTTGCCTCCTGAGCTTTCGGACTCGTGCTGGAGCCTATCCTCAGGGGAACTTCTCACTAACCAGAGGCTTCCCCATTGACTTTGCTTGTCAGAAGGTCACAAAAAGGTGATCACGTCACTCGTGCTGGAGGCTAGAGAGAATTTACCCTGAGGATGGGCTCCAGAACAAGCCCGAAATCTCGGGAGACAAAAAACCTCTGATCCCGGCGACTGACCCAGATTGGATCATGGCTCATATTTATGACAGTTACAGTATCCCGGGGTACATTGGTTGAGGATATGTAACAGATAGCAGATAATCAGAGTTGGAAGGGACCTTGTAGGTCATCTAGTCCAACCCCCTGCCCAAGCGGGAGACCCTACACCATTTCTGACAGATGGGAGCCCAATCTCTTCTTGAAAGCCTCAAGTGATGGCGCTCCCACAGCTTCCGAGGGCAAGCTGTTCCATTGGTTGATTGTCAGAAAATTTCTGTCAGAAAATTTCTCCTTATTTCCCAGTTGAATCTCTTCTTGTTCAGTTTCTATCCGTTATTCCTTGTCTGGCCTACAGGCGCTTTAGAAAATAGCTTGATCCCTTCCTCTCTGTGGCAGCCCCTCAAATATTGGAAGGCTGCTATCGTGTCTCACCTGGTCCTCTTCACTAGACTAGCCAGGCCCAGTTCCTGTATTTCATGTCATGTGACCAAACCAGGTATTTGGCAACCAGGTGCGGTTTTTCATCAGTGTCTCGTGGTCATGTGCCTGCATTTTACAATAGTTTTGCTAAAAAAAACTTCCCAGCATTTACTTCTGGTTTTCGGCAAAGCCACGCCACACAAGGCCAATCATTATTTGCTTAAGAACCTTGGTGCTTGCTTAACATCTACAGTGTCCACTTTATGACTGTGGTGTTTGGTTAATGACTGTCACAAAAACCAAGGTTTTTATGACCGTCATAACTTATGACCATGGTGGGCAGGCTCCATTATGATTATAAGTTGAGGACTGCCTGTATCTCTTAGAAGTGACTGAAATTGAGGAATACTGCATTAAACTCTTGAGGAGAGGGAAGACATTTGTTTTGGCTGGCAAGGCCCACTCCAATTTTACAGCCTGTTTACATAAAATGGGGGTGAGGAACTATGACTCTTTTATGACTCGTGGACTTCAACTCCCAGAATTCCTGAGCCAGCATGGCTTAACTCAGGAATTCTGGGAGTTGAAGTCCACGAGTCATAAAAGGGCCATAGGAGTTGAAGTCTACAAGTCAAAAAACTCAGGAATTCTGGGAGTTGAAGTCCACGAGTCATAAAAGGGCTATAGGAGTTGAAGTCCACAAGTAATAAGGCTCAGGAATTCTGGGAGTTGAAGTTTGCAAGGCATAAAAGGGCCATAGAAGTCTGTATGTCATAAAACTCAGGAATTCTGGGAGTTGAAGTCCACGAGTTATAAAAGGGCCATAGGAATTGAAGTCTACAAGTCATAAGGCTCAGGAATTCTAGGAGTTGAAGTCCACAAGTCATAAAGGGGCCATATTTCACTTCTGAAATAAAATACCCACCTGGCATCCAGGAAGCGGGAACGCAGGATCATGACCGCTTCACACGTGCTCTGCTTCAGCTGCATCTGGATAGAGCTGAACTTCCGGTGGATGATGCTGACCATGCGCTCAATCTCCTTAGGCGACACCGGGCGTGTGCGGCTTTGCTCTCGAAGCAAATTCATCACGTGGGTTGTGAACTCATTGCAAGCCTTGGTGGGACGAGGAGTGGAAAGGAAGAGGTGCTGGGTGGGTGAGTCAAAACGTATGACGGCAAGGACTTAACACTTTCCCCATCCATAACAACCTGCCCTCCATCCCAGAGATTCACCATCTTTGGCCACCGAGTCTTAATTTGATCCTCCAACTAATCAACTTTAGTTGGAGGTTCCTCTCAACATATAGCCATTCGTTTAGTGACCATTCAAAGTTACAATGGCATTAAAAAAAGTGACTAACAACCATTATTCTCTCTTTTTGCAGTATCCCTATAGCAGGGGTCTTCAAACTCGACAGCTTTAAGACTTGTGGACTTCAACTCCCAGAATTCCTCCTCCAATCATGTTAGCTCAGGAATTCTGGGAGTTGAAGTCCACAAGTCTTAAAGCTGCCAAGTTTGAAGACCCTTGCCCTAGTCATAGGATCAAAATTCAGATGCTTGGCAACTGGTTCGTATTTATGACGGTCACAGCATCCTGGGGGTCATACAATCCCCTTTTGCGGACTTCTGAGAAGCAACCTCAATGGGGAAGCCCGACTCACTCAACAACAGTGTTACTAACTTAACAGCTGCAATGATTCACTTAACAACTGTGACAAGAAAGGTTGTAAAAGGCAGACAAAACTCACTTTAACAACTGTTTCACTTAGCAACAGAAATTTGGGCTCAAGGACTACCTATAGTCCTATTACTTTTCTTCCCTAGAAAAGGTAGGGTTTTCTACTCATTCATCCTGTTGCCCACTGTGGTCCTTCGAAAACACTAATTATGGCCACTAAAAGACTGGCCAATCCTAACAGTGTTGCTTAAAATGTATTCAGCAATACTGTTCCATGAAGGAAGGGCATCTAATGCCTAACTATACGTCTACCTGTGCTGTTGTGTGGGTGGGTGTCAGCCTTTTTTAGATTTCATCTTTCATCTACATCAAGAGTCTTCAAACTTGGCAAGTTTAAGACTTGTGGACTTCCACTCCCAGAATCCCTGAGCTAACATGACTGGAGGAGGAATTCTAGGAGTTGAAGTCCACAAGTCGTAAAGCTGTCAAGTTTGAAGACCCCTGATCTATATCAATGTGTCCTCTATTCATCCTGTTATATTTTTTTAAAACAAGAATTCCAGGTACAGATGACAGATAATCAGAGTTGGAAGGGACCTTGTAGGTCATCTAATCCAACCCCCCCACCCCAGTGGGAGACCCTACACCATTTCTGACAGATGGGAGTCCAATCTCTTCTTGAAAGTCTCAAGTGATGGCGCTCCCACAACTTCCGAGGGCAACTTCTGTTCCATGGGTTGATTGTTCTCACTGTCAGAAAGTTTCTCCTTATTTCCAGGTTGAATCTCTCCTTGTTCAGTTTCCATCCATTATTCCTTCTGTGGCCTTTGGGTGCTTTGGAAAATAGCTTGACTCCTTCCTCTCTGTGGCAGCCCCTCAAATATTGGAAGACCGCTATCCTGTTTCCCCTGGTCCTTCTCTTCACTAGACCAGCCATGCCCAGTTCCTGTAACCGTTCTTCATATGTTTTAGCCTCCTGAATCTAGTATTTTTTTTAAAAAAATGGTCAATGGTTTTGAGCTGGTGCACAATTTGCAGATCCTCCTAGACTCAATGATTCCTGCTCAATGAGCAGGTGGCAGTCATGGCACGAAAGTGGGGTGGGGATTGATCTGGTATGCTGATTCTGCCCTTTTCTGGGCCAGGAGGCCTTGGGCTCATGGTCACTTCCTGTTCGGGCTACTCCAATGAACTCTACATGGGGCTGCCCTTTCAGATCCCACCCTCCTGACCTTCCGCAAGACCTCAAGACTCCTTCCGCAAGACTCTGTCCGTTGGCTTGGAGCTCCAGTGGGGGGAGTCCTGTCATCCTGGAGATGGCAGACAGATTGAGAACACAACCCATCCTCCTCCCTCCTCATCCTACCACGCCTTCGCTCATCTTTTATTAGGGTTGATAAATTAGTACTTTTATAGTATTTGATTTAATTACATGCATGTTTTGTATAGGTTTCTCCTTTTTAGCGTTGTGAGCTGCCCGGAAATACCCTGTGGTAAGATAGGTGGATGACAAATTTAATAAAGATCAGCTGGAAGCTACAGCCAGTACCAGAATGTGACCATGGCAACCACAGTGATGGGCGTCCCTTGGGTTTCTCCATGTAACACCTCTGTTGCATAGAGTTATACTAGCTCTCAGTTTCCTCCCAGGTGCAATTCAAGGTGCTGGTTATTACCTTTAAAGCCCTGTAGGGCACAGGGCAGAGGTGGAATTCAGTGGCTTCTGACCAGTTCTGGAGAACCGGGTAGCGGAAATTTGGAGTAGTTCGGAGAACCGGCAAATACCACCCCTGTCTGGTCCCGCCCCCATCTATTCTCCGCCTCCCGAGTCCCAGCTGATCGGCTGGGTCTTCTTTGGTTGCCCTGCACAGGAGAATGGAGCTGGAAAGCAGGTTAATGGGGTGGGGAGGGAATGGGGATTTTGCAGCATCCTTCCCCCTGGAGTGGGGTGGGAATGGGGATTTTACACGCCCACCAAGCCATGCCCACTAAGCCACGCCCACAGAACCAGTAGAAAAAACAACTTGAATCCCACCACTGGCACAGGGTCAGGTTATTTGTACGACTGCCTTTTCTTAAGGCAGGAGGGGGTGTGGTTTGGGTGCTGCTTGCATCCCGTGAATGGGGCTTTCCTTTTCTTAAGGCCAGTCTGACCAGGTCAGATAGGGTGGGCATGCTCCTAGTTCCTTCCTTTAAACCCGAGGTCCCCAACCCCCGGTCCATAGACCCGCAACCAGGCCATGGCCAGTGGTGGGATTCAATTTTTTTTTTTTATTACCAGTTCTGTGGGCGTGGCTTGGTGGGCATGGCAGGGGAAGAATACTCTGCAAAATCTCCGTTCCCTCCCCACCCCACTAACCTGCTTTCCAGCTCCCTTCTCCTGTGCACGGCAACCAAAGGAGACCCAGCCGTTCAGCTGGGACTCGGGAGGCAGAGAATAGATGGGGTTAGCGGGGCCAGTCAGAGGTTTATTGGACGGTTCTCCAAACTACTCAAAGTTTCCGCTACCGGTTCTCCAGAACTGGTCAGAACCTGCTGAATATACCACTTCTGGCCACGGCCTGCCAGAAACCGGACTGCGCAAACAAGCAAAGCCCCATCCATGGGATGCAGGCAGCGCATTAAACCACACCTGCTCCAGTCCACGGAAAAACCTCTCTTCCCAGAACAGGTCCCTGGTGCCCTAAAGGTTGGGGGCCTCTGCTTTAAACATTGCCCTATGGAAGTCCGTTCTCCCTGAGGTTCAGCAGTCCTCCCACCCTTCTCCTTGCCTTCTGAAAGGATCTTAAGAGCTCACTTTTACCTCAGTCCCAGGGACAGGATGAGGGGAACGAGAGGTTTGAACGATGAACTAGCATGTGGAAGATTAACTTTGGTGCCAGCTTTTAATATTCATTATTTGATGTTGTAAGTAATATTTAGTTGTAGGTTTATAAATGAAACACTTAATACATTGAATGTTTTAATAGGTATATGTACGGTTATGCATTATGTTGTTTTATTATTGATGTTGTTTTAATCCTTGATTGGAAGCTACCCAGAGTCTGATATGGGCAGCCATATAAACGGTTTAAATAAATAAAATAAAATAAAATAATAAAATAAAATAAAATAAAATATGTAGCATTTGATTTTGACTATGTGCCATCAAGCTAGTGATGACTTATAAAAGCCATGGGAATAAATTTTCTCCAGAATGATCGGATTGGACTCCAACCCTATTCTTTGTATGGATTCTTAATCCCAACACTGCCTCATCATCATTGTAATCAAGTTTATCATTGTTGTAATCAAGTCCGTCCTTCCTTCCTTCCTTCCTTCCTTTTTTCCTTAACAGATAACCAGAGTTGGAAGGGACCTTACAGGTCATCTAATCCAACCCCCGGCCCAAGTGGGAGACCCTACACCATTTCTGACAAATGGCAGTCCAATCTCTTCTTGAAAGTCTGAAGGGATGGCGCTCCCACAACTTCCGAGGGCAAAGCTGTTCCATTGGTTGATTGTTCTCACTGTCAGAAAGTTTCTCCTTATTTCCAGGCTGACTCTCTCCTTGTTCAGTTTCCATCCATTGTTCCTTGTCTGGCCTTTGGGTGCTTGACCCCTTTCTCTCTGTGGCAGGCCCTCAAATATTGGAAGACTGCTATCATGTCTCCCCTGGTCCTTCCTTCCTTCCTTCCTTCCTTCCTTCCTTCCTTCCTTCCTTCCTTCCTTCCTTCCTTTCCTTCCTCCTTCCTTCCCGCCCTCCCTCCCTTTCCCAGCAAATCTATGCTCCATATGTCCCCAAAATGTCTTCATATATGACTATTTCCATGTAATGTAAAAATAAATATATGGGGAAATGCAGGATCGAAAAGGTTTACTGCCGCAAGTGTGTGCAAGCCAAAGAATTTGGCAGCCACCGCTTTAGAGAGCAAAAATCAAGGACAAATCCCTTTAAATATATATGCACGCACGCACAAATACACAAACACACAAGGTGCCTGCTCTCTGGTCTTCTTCTTACCTGCTCGTACTTCTCCAGCTCCGAGTGGTAGATCTGGCGGATTTGCGAAAGCTTGTTGCGGTAATCCGAATGCTCTATTGAGTTGTCAGGGGATACCCCTCCTGCCGCCGCCGCCGCTGCTGCCGCCGCTGCAGAACCGCCCCCTTTTTCAGGTCCGGCCACTCCCTCGGCCAGGAGCATATTATCCAGGCGCATCAGCTGTGGGTCGACTGGCTCTTCCTCTTGCGAACTCCGGATGCTCAGCCCTGCAGGCATCATCATCAGGAAAGGAAGGGGTTAAATTGACCCGTTTGTGCAAGCCTAGACTTGTATGCAAGCATTGGGGGGGGGGTGCCAGCATGGACACCCAACTCTTCCCCCCCCCCCATATAAACTATTTTTCACTTGGTTCCCCCCTCCCTCCCCTCCGGGTGTCTCTCCGGTTGCTTGGCAAGAGGCTGGGTTGCAGGGAGGTCGTTGCTATGGTAGCGGAAGGCCCGGAAAAGGGGTAGCAGTTTTTTTGGCAGGAGTCATCCTGCAGAGTTGTGTGTGTGTGTGTGTGTCTGTTGGCCAGAAGGAGAGCAGGACAGACAGCCAGGGGAGGGAGGGGGGAGGAGAAGAGCACAAGCTAAGACCCCACAGAAGCAAGAATGAGGATCAGTCAGTTTGGCTCTCTAACCTTCACCCCACCACCCCAAAAAAAAGTATGGAGGATAAATTTTGCCCTCCCTCCTCCATGTTTCCAATCCAGGGCTGGTCTTTTGTGCTTTTCACAGCAGCCCAGGGGCCTCTCTGCACCCCACTCCAACCTCTCCCCAAAAGTGGCACGCAGCCAGGAGAGAAGAAATAACTCGCGAACCTGCCCGGCCTCATTCATTTTAACAAGCTTTCTCCTCCACACCCCCAACGCCTCATGCTCTCTCCCGCTACGTAAGGGAATCGCCTGGCGAGGCTGCAAGGGTGCAACTCGATCTGTTGCTCATGCCTCCCCCGTTAGGAAATGCACTGGGTGTGGAAGCCGCCCAAGCCAAGCTGGGGCAGCCCCACAACTGGCAGGGCAACTTACTGGAAGTGAAAAGTATGTGTGTATATGTGTGGAGAGGAGGGGGGGAGATGAGACACAGAAATGGGATAAATGCATTAGATTTGTAACCAAGCAAGGTTGCACCAGCAGGGAGCGGGCCGTGGGAGCAAATCTGCTGTACAACTCGCTTGACCAGTTCTGGAAAAGCTTCCTTGCTGGTGTTCAATGCGAAGAGGCTGGAGGCCCAAACAATGGTGGACTTTCCTCCACTTCTGCTGAGCTTGTGGGAGAAGAAAAGGCTGGTCTGTGGTGCCAAAAAATTAAAAATGAAATGAAAATCAGGAGCACCTTTTCCGATAAACGCAACTTGCAAAAGCAAGCCGCCTTTTAATAAAATCAAAAAAGCTCCCGGGCTCTTAATTTCGAGCTCTACCTAAAAGTCACTTGCAAGGGACAGAAGCTGTGGGGGAAAAAAGTCCTTTCCCATTAAGGCAATAGATAAGCTGGTGCTTCAAGCCAGAAATTCAACCGGTGCAGATTTAAGGCAATAGATAAGCTGGTGCTTCAAGCCAGAAATTCAACCGGTGCAGATTTAAGGCAATAGATATGCTGGTGCTTCAAGCCAGAAATTCAACCGGTACAGATTTAAGGCAATAGATAAGCTGGTGCTTCAAGCCAGAAATTCAACCGGTGCAGATTTTGTTTTTACATCAGGATTCCCCTAAGTCCTCAGGACTGACTCCCAAGGGACAAACTAATTTTTTATGAAATTTATTTGCCGCTCATCTTGCAACCTTTATTTATTTATTTTATTTATATCCTGCCTTTATTACGATGTTTTATAAATAACTTGAGCTAGCAAACAGACTGAATGCCCCTTCTTCTTGTTTTTCCAACACAACCCTGTGAGGTGGGTAGGGCTCAAAGTCACCCAGCTGGCTTTCTTGCCTAAGGGGGGGACTAGAACTCACAGCCTCCTAGGTTTTAGGCCAGCATTTTACACCAAACTGGCTCTCCAAGGGATTGTTCTCATTATTTGTAGTACTATTAATTAAAATCATCTGGATTAATTTATTTTCATGTAATAAATGTTTGCGGGGTATGTGTCAGTGAACAATCTGAAACTTTATGGGGGAGGAGTTAACGATCTGAAGAGTTTGGGGACACCTGCATTACACACTAATTAACAGGGCTCACAATTTCCACTGAAATTATAAAAAAAATGGGAGCGATTGAAACTTTCCTCAGTTCTGGGAAAAATCATTACAAGTCCTTCTTCTGAACGTTTGGGGGCCAACGACGTGCTCCATTAGTTCACGGAGGGTGGTATATGAATGAAGGAATGAGCTGGAAGGGACCTTGGAGGTCTTCTAGTCCAACCCCCTGTTCCAGCAGGAGAACCTATACTATTTCGGATGTGACTGTCTAGACCAGGGATGGCGAACCTTTTTGTGGTGTGCCGAAAGCGTGCGCGCGCGATAACGCATGCGCACGTAGGTGGCACCCACAATGCAATGCGCCCTGCCCCCTGCGCATGCGTGCATAACACCCCTGTCCCGAAGCTCAAGGGAAGCCTCTGCAGGCTTGGGAGGGTGAAAACGGCCTCAAACGGGCCGAAAATCAGCTGTGAGCTGCGCGCATGCACAGTACAGGTAAGTTTGGTTGAGGCTCACGTGCCCGCACAAATGGCTCTCTGCGCCACCTGTGGCACGCCTGCCACAGGTTCGCCATCACAGGTCTAGACTCTTTCTTAAAAATTCAATGATGGAACATCTACAATTTCTGAAGGCAAACCTGTTCCACTGCTTAATTGTCCTCACTGTTAAGAAGTTTCTCCTTAATTCCAGGTTGCTTCTCTCCTTGGTTAAGTTTCCAACCGTTGTTTCTTGTCCTGCCTCCTCTGGTGTTTTGGAGGATAATTAGGAGAATAATAATAAGCTGGAGACAATTTAAAACTCTGTCAAATCGGAAATCATAATCTTGAATATGAACCCCGTTACTATTAATCTCGGCCAGAAGGAAAATGAGAGATTCCTCAAGATGTGATAAATAACAGTTACACTTTGACCTCTTATCGCTTCATTGCACTGTTTTCAAATGATCTTAGAGGAAAACAGGATGAGATTAGAACGTCTTGCATGATAGATCTGAAATTGTATGTATTGTTGGGGGGCGGGGGGCAAAATTAATAAAAAGACTGTGGACATGTAATTTATAGGTGGTCCTCGACTTATGAGCACAGCAGGAACCAGAATTTATGTTGTTAAGCAAGGTTGTTGTTAAGTGAGCCGTGCCCAATTTTAAAACCTTTTTTGCCACAATTGTTAAGAAAATCAATGTAGTTATTAAGTCAGGGGTGTCAAACTCAATTTCACTGAGGGCCATTATCAGAGTTGTGTTTGACCTGGGGGTGGGGGTGGGGGGCTGGCCAGTTTGATGTCACTCGTGTCGGGGATGTCTCTGAAGGCCCGAATGCTCTGAGAGGAAAAAACGGGCTCCTGAGCTCCATTTCCAGCCGCGATGCCCTCCACCAGCGAAAACGGAGCTCGGGTGGGCCACACGTGCCCCCCGGGCCCCATTTTCGGCTGCGACGGCCTCCTGCAGCCCACAGCCAAAAACAGCTCCGTCTTCTCTGGCAGAGGCACTGCAGGCCGGTTCTTTGTTGTTTCCAGGGTGGCTCCCTGGAAATCTAAACACCTGTGGGCTGGATCCAGCCCCCAGGCCTTGAGTTTGATACCCCTGAGTTAAGTGAATCATGCAGTCATTAAGCGAACCCAGCTTCCCTCTATTAACTTTGCTTGTTGGAAGATGACTGGGCAGGTCTAAATGGCCCTCACATAACTCCAGGGCACGGCAATCATTGTATATACATGCTGGTTGCTCAAATTTTCATCCAGGACTGTGGGGATGCTATAAGTGTGAGGACCAGTTGAACTCCTCACTTCGAATCACTTTTTTTCAATGTTATATCTTTGAACGGTCACTAAAGTTTATAGTTGTAAATGGAGGACTATCTATAGTTTGTTTAACGTATAGCATCTTGTAGGATTCGGGTTCAATTGCCAAAGAATTCCATTGTGATCTACCTTTTTTTTTGGGAGGTACAGAAAAAGAACAGAAACACAATAGGCATCCAATGCTATTTTATCAAAGAAGGTTTTGTGGGATGTATATTTTTGGCAGGGTTTTTTTTTAGCCTGGAAACCAGGGGCAAGACTATTTCTGATTTTTCTGCTTCGGGATTAATTTCTAATTAATGTTTAAATTAAACTCTCTAGAAATAAAAAGTACAACACTGAGAAAGTGATAGCAATTTCGCATCTACTGTAGGTTTTTCTTCCTTGACACTAAATTGTTTTATAATTTAGTGTGTCTGTATGTTCGAGCAACTAAATAGAATAAAAATCCCAACGTATCATTTGGTATGCACCTGGAATTTCCCAAAGCAACTATTTTCATTGTTAAAAATGAAAATTGGAAATGAATTATAATATTTTGCATTTATGAATTAAGACATTTCACATTTTTTACCTTATGCATTGCAATAAAGGTACTGTTAACTCAGTTATTAAAAACATATTTTTTAGCTGCTCTTGCATGTGCCAAATACAAATTTAAATTAGTTGCAGTAGTGTTTTACTGCAATGGGTTTTATTAGAAGTCAAGGAAACCTGTAACTCTCAGAATAAATCCACTTTTGGGACTATCTAAGACAGGGGTCCCCAAACCTGGCAACTTTAAGACTTGTGGATTTCAACTCCCAGAATTCCTCAGCCAGCAAAATCTCCCTAACTTTTTTTGGGATGGAAAGCGATTAGTGATTTCAAAGTGATTTAAATTTGCATTAGACCTTAAAATCTGCAAACTAAGCCTGCAGTCTAGCATCTGGACCCATAATGTAACAATATTTGCCAGGAATGAGTAAAGGAAATGATTAAAAACTGTGCAAATATTATCCAAGAAAGTAATGTGGTTTAAATTTGGCAAGTTTTTATAAAAATGGGAAAAACATCAAGATGCAAGCCAAACTTTTCAGCTATCTAAACAAGCCCAGTTTTGGTGCTACTGAGCATTTTGAATTCAATTGGATGGACACTTTAACTAGCAGATCCATAATCTTCTACCTGCATTCTGGCCAGGGAATTCTGGGATTTGAAGTCAACACACTTTCAGGTTGCTTAGTTTTCAAGAGAAACCACTGCATTAAATGATAAGAAAAGAACTGGAAACATGTCTCCAAAC